TCTGTCTGTCTGTCTCTGTCTCTCTCTCTGTCTCTCTGTCTCTCTCTCTCTCTCTCTCTCTCTCTCTCTCTCTCTCTTTTTCCTTGAGTGCAATACGAGAGAGAGAGAGCGTGTTTGAGTGCCAGAGAGAGCTGACAACATTCTCCACCATGGACTCATCAGAGTTGCTCTGTCCAAGAAATCACAGGGAAACTTCGTTGGCAAACTTGAAGTCCCACTATGTGTTCCAGTGTGGTGATAACAACACAAAGGAAGAGGTGCATAAGTGTGAAATGATTTTCTTTAATTTAATAATTGTTATTTATTTATTATTTTTTTAAGTGTGCAATTCTGAAATAAGTGCATGTACCTTTTCTTTCCAAACTGAAGTCGATGCCAGCCCACCAGAGTACTGTCAGACTTTGCTTCTTCTGAGGCAGTGGCCTGCGCACACGTAAGCCATGATAGAGCCAGAAGATATGTAAAAGTCGTTTTCATAACGGGACAGCTACGCACTCCTTCAACCGATGTTTCAGCGAGCAGATGGAGTAAACTCAGCACCGTAGCCTCCTCATCAAAATACATTTGCAGGGGCAGGTCCACGCAGTGTCGTGGACGGATGCAAGGTCAGTAGACTCAGTACTGACCCGGCAGCACACAGCTGTGATCACAGGGTGGTTGCTTTGTGCTCTTGAAAACATCCAATGGTGATGAAAGGGTTCAAATCCTGCCTAGATGATATCCTGGAAGTCTATTTAGTGTAGAGATTTACTATTGCTTATGGATTCCTCATGCAACTGTGATGAAGGGCTCGAATCCTGCCTAGATGATGTCCTAGAAGGCTAGAAGTCTATTTAGTCGTAGAGATTTACTATTGCTTACGGATTTTCCTCGGCCATCAACTAAATTTGCAAGAAAGGCTTCCAAAAAAACTGAGTTCCCAATCCAAATCACAGGTTGGTTGCTGTGTGCTCTTGAAAACGTGTGATGGTGATGACCGCAGGATGATATCCGTTTTACCGTAGTGATTCGCTAATTTTGCTTCTGCTTACGGATTTTATTTACTTATTTATTTATTTATTTATTTTTTAAATATTGTGTGGTCCGATGGACCACAGATCAGATATTAAACTGATCAGAACAGAATCAACAGATACTACACTTGATCTTAGCCAAAAGGCCGAGAAAGGTATTCTGCTTACGGATTTCTATACGACGATTACAATCAACTAAGTTGGCCAGAAAGGCTTCAAAAAACCTGAGTCTTTGAATCCAAATGGCCATGCTAGCACCCTCAATCGAAGCGAAAGCTTGAATGCAACTTCCTTCTTCTTGGAAATTGGAGCGAGGGTTTTTTTTTTTTTTTTTTTTGATCGCATAACATCCCATGAAAACCCTGTTATTGAAGCTATTGTTAGTTAGCTGAATCATTCTGATTTCAATGTCAAGCCCCAAGATTCCGCAAAGCATTTCTCATCCCGGTCTCTCCTGATCGTAAACATGTAACGTAGAGGTGATGATATGGAATTCTATGAATAATCTGAACCAAACACAAACAATTCTATTTCTATAGTCTGAAAAGTTTGGACAGTATACTGAAGACATGAGGGGGACGAATACGAGGAAAGGAAATACATCACCGCGGGAATAACATCCATCCGTTAAAATTGCCAAAAAAAGAAAAAGAAAAAGAAAACCGTTAAAATTGGAACGATACAGAGATGATTAGCATGGCCACTGCGCAAGGATGACACATATAAGTCAAGAAATGGTCCAAATGTTTCCGGTTTTTTTATTTTGTGTATTCATCTAGTTCATCTGGATTCGAACTCAGATCTATACTTCAACAGTTCAAGTGTGTATCTTATGAGCCAGGCTTGTTGGTGGTCTCTTTACCTCTTTCTTTCTTTTGTTTCAGGGTGACAAGGAAGAGAAGATCTTTCTTTTTTTTTCTCTTTTTTCAGGGTGACAAGGTTGGACCCTGCAAGCGGAACCCGGGTAACGGCCCCGGTGACCTTGAGTGTGCCATGGGACGCTGGACCCGGTTTCCAGCAGGTGAAGCTCCCCACCAATAGATACGAGCACCCAGAGTGATCTCTTTACCTCTCTTTTTTTTTTCTTTTTTTTTTTCATTTTCTTCATTCGCCATCCTTGCGCAGGGGGCATGCTGCTAATCTTCTCTGTATCGTTCCAATTCTAACGGATGTCCCAGAGGACGATCTCTTTACCTCTTACTGTGCCAACAAGCCATCTTATTTTCCATCCCGGAACATCCTTTCATTGATTGCCACACAATCGACTCGAGTTCAATCAACACAGTGGTAAAATCAGCAGAGCAGACGCCAAGCGCCTGCTCTATACAACGAGGCGTTTTTCCAATGCGATTGCATTTCACCATGATTCCAGTACATCACTTTTCTTCCGCGCTGGGAAAACAATTGTGAAGGCAGAAAAGCGCTGCGCGCCTCAAAGACCCATTTCCCGCTTCAGTTCCGACAGCATTTTCTCAATATCATCCTCAATTCTCTGGTTCACATCCTTAACCTCCTGCTCCACTTTCTCATTAACCTCCTTGACCTCCTTTTCAACCTTCTTTCCAATGTCCTGCCAATCTACTGTTGCTTTGCCTTTTTGTCCCCTCACTGTACTACTCCTCGAAGAATCACCTGCTGACGTCTTACTACGCTCTCGCTGCTCGCTTTCACTGCCGTTTGGTGATGCTCCTCCCCAAGAGTTTTGTGCCTGCCCAGGAGATGGGATAGTCAGCTCCTTCTCCAAGAATTCCACAAACTCCTCGCCCAGTTCCGCTAGTTCTTCCCACAGACTCTTTCCTTTCCCCTCTGCCATTTCCTGCTGCCTCTTGTTCAGATCATTTTCAAGGTCCCGAAAGAATTCTCCCAAACCGTAAAACTCTTCGTCTTCTTTTGACTTTGCACCTGAACTGCCCCAGCCACCAAAAGGACTCCAACTCTCATCCCCCCTCCTACGCACGGCATCGTAGCGGATTCGGCTCGATGGGTCCGAAAGTGTTTGGTACGCACTCTTTATCCGCAGAAATTTTTCCTGTGCGTCCGGTTCCTTATTGACATCAGGATGGAACCTCAACGCCAGTCGTCGATACGCCTGCTTAATGTCACGGTCGCTTGCAGTCGCGCTAATCCCTAAGGTCTCGTACAGATCTTGATGCTCATTCGCCATCGCCACAACTTTCACACCTGCTGTCTGTTGCCCCCTCGCTTTCCTCTTTTCCGCTCTCCTTCCCAGAAGAACCCTGGATCCCTGCTGAGAAAGGCATGGGCGACCAGGGCATCCCCACAAGTCCCCCCTCCGAACAAGCCAACCGTGTACCTCGCCATTTGTCCCCGCTGCAGCTGCGCCACTCACATCACTAATCTTCCCCGACGAGCACCTCATCGGATGAGTCAACGGACCGGTTATTAGTTTTGTGTGTGTGTGTGCTGCAGTCTCACATATGTTTTGACATCGCAGATCAGGGCACTGATGGCCATGAAGCCTTGCCGTGCTCGAGTGGAACAACATAGTTTCCATCACACTGCCCGGAGGTCGTACGCTTTGGAAGTGCCTGCTCTTCTATTCACCAAACATCGAATTGACAAGACAAAAGTTGTGTCGAGCTTCAATCAGATTATACATCACTTGCCACTAACATTGCCACTACCACTAGTAACAAACATAAATAAGTAGCACAACATAATGACGCACATTTGCATGTGCCAAGGACAGCGACATCCAAGCCCACTATCCGTAAAGAAGAGAGGACCAAATTAAAATCCATCATCTGGACCAACCAGACTTGACTATATTCCAGTGGCAGCCACAAGTGAGAAATTGCAGCCATGTTCAACCTAACGACTTCCCTTTTTTGTGGTTCTCCTGTTAAATGATGCACATTGCACTAGACTCCTAGAGCTCGTGCTTATACCGCACATCTCCCAACTCCCGAAGTCATTCTCCATGATATCATACATCTATACCAGCTGTACATTAATTTCATCAACAAAAATTGATCTACACGGAAGGGATGGCAATTGGAGTGGATATTAAGATTCAGCGCTTGCTTGCTAGGTCACCATAGGTTTCCTAGGTTTCCTTTTCCCTTTTCTTAACATTGCCAACACTCATACTGCTTATAAATCATGAAATATACAGACAACACCCCCTCCCCCCCCCCCCCCCCCCTCTCTCTCTCTCTCTCTCTCTCTCTCTACTATGTAACTTTGCTCGAGGAGTTAGAACTTTTCCCAAGTGCAAACCTGCTGAATAATTGTTAACCGCGTAAGGCCAAAAGCTTCCCATAACCAGACCTTTGGTTCTCACTTCAACTACGGAGAGAATGAATAGGGGTCCTGATGCCCGACGGAAGGAAGCATGGGTTCATATCTTGTTGCATTTTCATGACTTGCCAGGGGAAAAGTAACCGCGCTGACGCCCCCCAGAATGGATACGGAGCCACGACCACAAGGCCCTGTTTTTTTGTTTTTGTTTTTTAATCATGGAATCGGGGACGAGGATGGAGCAGAATTACAACACAAAATGTGTTAAGCTCGGCCGATGCGCCTTGCTCATTGCTGTGAGGGATGCTGGGCCCAGTTTCCGGCCTTTCATCGAGGTGAGCTTCTCCTGGGAGGTCGTGTCCACCTTTCCCAACCTGGGATAAGCGGTGAGACAAGCGGCCAATGGCTGCCGTCGTCACGTTTCCGCCTACTAGATGCACGAGTCTCATCGACCCGGAGACATAGACGCGACACACACGGTGAGCAATTGAGACAGACACAAGGACTGAGACAACTCAAACCCAGTAAAACAGAACAGCTTGAACACCGTCAGTCAAGGTCGAACCTCGAGAGAGCGGTGTTAACTACTAAGCTCAGGAGCAGTCCGTCACCAGGTCAGCTTCTCCTGGGAGGTCGTGTCCGCCTTTCCCAACCTGAGATAATGGGTGATACTGAGCTTTACCTGGGATCCCACACTGAGGAAGGGCTGCGCTAGCCCTAGCGCCCTGACGTCGGCGGACAGGTAGGCCGGGTTCCCTCGGCTCGACTAGGGCCTGGGGAGGTAAGCTCCGAGGCTGCTAGGCCTGTGCGCGCACCCGGCAGAAGCATGTGGCTCTTTGATTGCCACGTGGCATCTGCTGTAGGGACGTGAACGTCCGCAATGCGCGGGCAGGGGTAGCACCAGCAGTGAAGACTGACAATGAATTGCAGTACGTGGCACAGCATTCCGGGCGAGGGATGGAGATGGAAGGGGAGCTACGACTACAAGATAAGCTCTTTCATAATGAAGACGAAGTCTCGCTTACAGAAGACTCTGAAGGTGAGCAGATGACGATCGCGATGTGCTCCGCTATTGTACAATGCCCTATAGGTGAGATCTGGGAGAGAGACGAGTTGTGCTGTTGCTGTGAGTGAGTGCGATGAGTATGAGGGGGGGGGAGAAGAAAGGTGGGTTAACCTGATGGCTCTCTCTAACCAGGCTGAGGATGAGAGTGCAGTTGGTGATGGAGAGAGGGAATATGGCGTTGATGACGCAGGTGAGTGGGAGGTTGAGGATGAGAGTGCAGATGGCAATGGAGAGGGGGAATATGCCACTGATGACCCAGCTAAGTGGGAAGGGGAGTGGGGGCTATTGGTAATGGTGGAAGTGGCGGCAGCGGCAGCGGCAGCAGCGACGGCAACAGTAACAACAACAACTTCAACAAGAACAATAATGGAGGTGGAGCAAGGGTTGGAAGATGAGAGGCAAGGAATGGGCGGGATTGGCGAGACGGGCGGGATGGTCGACAACAACAATGACAATATCAACGACAACAATAACAACAGTAACTTCAACAACGGCGGCGAGCGGCGAATGGGCGAACTGGGTGGGATAGGCGTGAAGGAGGATAACAACAACAACAACAACAACAACAACAACAACAACAACAACAACAACGGCAACAACAACGCGATGGAGGAGAGGGGACGTTGATAACAACAACAACAACAACAACAACAACAACAACAACAACAACCACAACAACAACAACAACAACAACGGCGAAAACAACGAGATGA